CATGAATATCCTTGTAAAGGATGCTAGTTCCAATTAGAGGATGGATTTGGCTTCCCCAGTCCCTCTTTTATCACTGGGCCTATTTCCTGGGTTCTACTAAATTTTGATCTGCTTTGCTCAGATAAGATTCCTCCCCCCGGTCTAGGATTCTTCCTGCTTGGATACTTTCCCTAAATGGACTGCATTTGGGCTACTTTTCTTGAAGACATTCTATCTCATGCTCTACCCAAGAAGGATGCAGTCACAACACACCACACGTGTATGCAGGCACCCATGCATGTGTGCGTAACACTGATTCTAATAGGGTGAGAGGATTTCCCCAATTATGCAGCTTTTAGGGATTTTTTTCTGATTCAAATAGTAAAGATTAATGGATTAATAATTTCTCAAAACAAAGACACAAATATTCACGGAAGCTCAGTTGGCAGTGGCTATAGACTAAACTACTTGGATTATTAGGAAAGAATTAGTCCACATTAATTCAGTGCACAAATTCCATCAATGTATTTTCATTCCCATACCGTAAGAAAGGTGATGACTATGGTAACATGCTTTAAAATAGATTACCTGTGGAATATACAAAGCATGTCTCAGAATCTGCCAGGTATAGTGATTAGCAACTTCACATCATTGCTAATCACAAAGCCATCACAGAGCACAAGGCAAGCCAAGGATAAATCAGCTGTCCTTTGAATGAAAAATAATTCTGACATAAGATTGTGCTCACACAGGTTCACTGGGTGAAGTCAATGGTGGGTATAGCTGTCCGCTGCTTTGCAGACTTCTTGCACACAAAATAATCTGCCTTCTGCTAAGAGTGGCCTCAGAGGCCTTCCCTTCTGCACTGACTACATACACGCCTTTTCATTGCAAGGAAGATTTCAGCTGAACTCTCCTGGTTAGTTTGGTAAAAGTGAGAGCAGATGGTGCCGTCACCCACTCCCACTGAATTCTGTTCGTCCTACCACGTGGCCTGAATTGTTTATATTTTTTCCCCCAGTGTCCTTGAAGAAAATCTATCTGGCGCTTTACCATTTAGAGGCATATAACCTCTTCCTTTTTCTCTTCCTATGTATATTTCTGTACACAAAGCACAAAGAATAACATCTGGATTCAAATCTAATGTGCTACTGACAAGTTCCCTGACTCAGCCAAGCAATATTAAAAAAGGAATAATTAACTACCTTAAGTGATGACACAACATGAACTAGTAGTTCCACACAGAGTTTGAAAGCTTTAATAAAGGAGGCCAGAAAATAAAGGATAGAAGGTTTAATGAGATAAGTGAAGCCTATGTTTTAAGGATCAAAAGCTAGAATTAATGGGTAACATCATCAGGGTTTTTTTTTCCATGTCCAGAACTGCAATCAAGGCATGACTTGATGAAAGAATTACTTTGCTTCAGATAGGGCAATGTCATTAGCAATGACACAACATGACTTTTTGTTTCCTTCTGACATTTTCCTTTGTTGAAAAACATCACTTCAAATTAAGATCCTTTTAGCCATTTACTCCTCAGTTCAGCTGGTTTTCTCTATAGCTTTACCTGAAAAAGTTATTTTCTACTATACTGCATGTATTCTATTGTTAGCAGCTTAAAATTGAATAGAGATGCAGGGAGGATAAGACGAGCAAAAGCTATCAATCACTGCTAGTTGTGATGGCTGTGCACCGCCTACAGGTTCAGAGGCAGCACACCGCTGCATACCAGTGGCTGGAAAGCATAGTTGGGAGAGCGCCATTGCTCTCATGCCCGACTCTGAGCTTCTACAGGAAGCTGGTTGGCCCCTGCGTTTACAGAGTGATAAGCTAGATAGGCCTTGGGCATGATCCAGTATGGCAATTATGTTCAATGGAGAACAGAAAAATAATAAAACGGAATAGGCAAGTGTGGATAACCAAGTAAGATGGCAGCAATACGTAAGCACCCATACGAAAAATCTGGAAAACAGTAACCCTAACCCTGGTCTAGCTGGCTCATCCAGTAAATCAGTTTTAAAATATTGCCCAATAAACTTCAATTTGAAATTTCACATCATAAAATTTCAGAATAGCACGAGATCTAATTTAACTGAGAACACAACAAACAAAATTCACAGGGAAACACTTTAAATCCAGTCACTGTGAAAATGATGTGTAGAAAATATCCCTGAAACCAAAGTTTAGTTCTTCAGCTTTAATCCAATGGACAGGTTATTAGATACTGTTTCTCCACAAATATCTCAATATGAAGATGTCAATCACAAAATCGCTTAAAGGAGTTATTACATCAGGCAGAACTGGCTGCTCATCAAGCAGTTTCTCTCTCTGCCTTCGTGTCAAAATAAAAAAAGGACAGAGCAAAAACTAAATGGAATTTACATTTGTTTTGTGTCCTTCAGTGCCTCTTCAAAAGTGGAAACACAAATGTTTCAAGCCCTTCAGTTCAGAGGTGACTAGAGAGATCACTAAAATTTCTAAATTTAGAAGTCAAACAAAAACCTTCAAAAGGCCAAGAGCTAAAAGGCTCCAGACCCCTGCATGCATTCATATCTGTTCCTCAAAACCTTGAATACCAAATCATACAACACACTTGAAGCATTAATTCTGTCTACTGGCCTCTCCATCTTACACACGTGCCACATAGTGACTCATATAGAGCCGAACTGACTTCCCTGGGCCCTTCTTTGGCTCTCCGCAACATGCTCTATCCTAACCCAGGAGGGGGGAAATGGGGAAAACCCCATAATGCTAAATTCCAGGTTTCCCAGCAGTTCCCTGAGCCGATCTGAATGGCACAATAAGCCATGCGGAAGACAAGCCATGGTGGGCAGGTTAATAGCTCACACTAAGCTACACTGCCCCAGCAGACAATCAGGCACTTGCCCTTTGCCTTCCCATCCTTCCCAGCACGTATCCCAGGAGCTTCTGTGGCACAACCTGTCCATCCTCTGGAAGGCACAAGACTGCGGAAGGCCAGCACAGATTCTCAAGGCAGCCTATGTATGGTTTACCAACCAGGCTGAGAAAGCCATCACAGCAAGTCACCCTGAAACAAATACAGCCAGCGACCTACTGTGGGTTGCTCTGTCCTGCAAATCAGGGAACCATGCTTGCCATTACTGACCACTTCCTCCGGCCTGATCAACACACTCCTCCCTAGACTAGCTTGCCATCACTGCCTGAGACCAAACTCCCTGCGTACTCCTCTCTCCAAAAGCCAAGGCCCCCTTTGATCCGAAGGCTCTTCTTAAGGACATGGCTTCAGGCACTGCTGTTACAACCTTACTCTTGCAATCCCATGGACTTGAAAGCAAGTCTGGGACAAGATCACTTCTAAATACCACATATAAAGCCTAATCAGATGGCAGATTACTTTTACAATGTGAGAACCCACACTGTCCCAGATACAAGTTTTGCTAAAATAAGAGTTTTAGTTTTGAAACTACTGTTCCAATCGCTGTCCTTCTCGCTATGTATCAACACCGTAAGAAAGAGCAATGGCAGGACGGCAAATCCGGCAGAGCTCAACAACAATATTGCCACAGCAGAAAAGTTGCTGGCTGTGGAGCTTTTTTTCTTGTATTTCAGTTCACTTTAGGCATCCAATAAATACAGTTACTTACAAAGCCTTAGGCCAAAAATAAGCAGCCCAAGTTACCAAGCAACTGATCTTCTAGCACAAACTAGCATGGCTATTTTTCTGGAATTTAAAAAAATGATTTAATGAATTGGGCCTCTTTTGCTGTTCATAGAGAAGAGCGGTGACGGAAGAAAGAATTAAATCCTGCAATGTGGAGACAGTTGAACTCCAATTCCTGCAGAGCTTCAGGCTCCAATCAAGGGAAGCCTAAGCATTTACCATATGCAATGACTTTTGGAAACAAGCTCCTAGTGCTTGCCATGAAGAAAGCCTGGTTTGACAGCCAGAAGATGATATGTAACAAAATTTCTTTAAGTTTAAAGAAATGTGAACAGTCATTTTCTTCACAGTACAGTCAATTATTATTTCACTATAAACTCCCTTAAATCTTATACATAGCAGTTTAAGCAGCACAATTCCAGCAACAAAAACAGCTTATTTCAAGTTACTTTCGGGCTCTGAGTGGAGTTTTAAGCTGTCACTCATTTCCTATGAAAAATGCTGATTTCACTTCCTACATAGTTTCTAAACCTTCTTTCACACTTTGAAGCAATTAAAAGAATGTAACATGTCATTTTAGAGTATTTTCTTCAACTCGGTGGTAAAAATCCAATGAAGAGGAAACAATTTTGATGTTAGAACTATTTCTTCCCTGTTGGTTCAAGGAAAATTACAAATAAAATGATTACCCTATACCCATGTGTCACTGACATGCCAAAACATAAGTTTGCTTGCACACAATAATAATTGGGACTTACTTTCAAGCAAAGTCTGGATAAACATTAAACCAAATTAAAAGTTTCAACTATACTATGGCATTTATAAAGTAAATGGTGTTTATGTAGCACAGGTAATTTTCAGCATTGCTGGAAATGGAGTGGCCCACTTCTTCTCTAACATTATTCCCTTAGCATCGCCTATAGGGAAGGGAAACTCCAAAGACCTGGTCTGCAACAGCTGCCTCTTGATTTATTTATTATTATATTTATTTATTTATTAAATTTATTTATTTATTATGCCGCCCCATTCGCCAAAGCCTTGGGGCGGCTTACAACAATAAGTTAAAAATAATTATAATATTAAATTAAAAAAATATAAACATTAAATTAAAAATACAAAGATACCAATATAAAATAAGCCGCCCTGGCCAGATAAAATCCAGTAATATTAACAGTTAAAATGCCGCTTAAATAAAAAGGTCTTCACCTGGCGCCGAAAAACAAATAACGACGGCGCCAGGCGGACCTCTCTGGAGAGCGCATTCCATAACTTAGGCGCCACCCTAAAATATAAGTGGTAGTGACGTGAGTTGACACACATTATATGATCAAGGAATTAAGCATGTAAAAACTTTTCTAGAAAGCTTTTACTCATTTGAAGAGATCAATAGTGTATCACTAAATTTTACTCAATAATTCAGGGAGCAGTCTTTCTCAGAATACAAGCAAACAGGAATTACAAACGAGCCTGAAAATTCTAATACATTATATCCTAATCGGAAGATCTCAAGGGGCATTAGGTTGGCTACTGCTGAAACAGTACCCTACTAGATGTGTGCCTTCTCTGTAACTCTGGATAGCTCACCAGGCAGATATGAGATATGGATCCCAACATATTATTCTGTATTTGCCCCTTCAATTTAACAGCTATTTAACACATGGCAAACCAGTCATTTTTCAACTCTACTTCAATATTCTCCACTGATTTCCCCCAAAATGATGCTGCAATTAGTCTTCCAATCGGTTTCCCTACTTGCCCCACCCCTGAAAAAAATACATTTTTGTTATCCAGTGTGGCATAATGCTGTGAGTGTTCTATGGGGACTTGGAAGACCTGGGTATTAATCCCCCCTTCGCCATGAAGCTCATTGGGTGACTTTGGGATGCTCACAGACTCTCAGCCCAACTTCTATTCCAGGTTTGTTGTGAGAATAAACGGAAAGGAGGAAGGCTGTGTAATGTCACACTGGGTGCCTTGAAAGAGGAAAAAAAGGCAGGGTATAATTGTACTAGTAGCAATCATAATCAAATAATGGTTACAGGCTAGCTCCTCACTCCTCTTTTCAACTTCACACAATAATGATGCCTCTGAATATGAGTGAAACAAAGGGGGAACAGCACTGTCAAAAAAATATGAAGTTAGCAGGACTATCAGCAGCAAATTACCGCCAATGACAAGCCAGCCTCTGCCATGATGCAGTAATCTGAAGTGCCAGCACCTGTGAAGTACACCAAAGCAAACCGTGGCAAAGCCAGAGTCTTGCAGCTTTAAGTCATAGCCAAAAACCAAAAGCAGTAAATCATCAACACTGGTCAATGCCCTTTCCTGTGAAAATAGCAATGAATACTGCCTTTCAAACAGGTCAAGGGGTCACCACTGCTCTCAGACAGCTGGTCTGTAAGTGAAGGTCTAAAAGGATCTGCCTTCCTGTGTATTTCAAGGGTGACTCAAAGCTACTCTGAGCAGAAATTAACTGAGGTCACAGTCACAACTCTGACCATCTTGAAAGTGGCACTGTAACAGAATGATGGGTTATATCAGGTAGTCTTCTTACTGTGCAACCAAGCCTAGGGAGGGGAGCTCAACATTTTCATGCTTGTGGGGGACATTCCCATAGTTACATATTATACAGTGATAATTTTTGCAATATTTGCATTGGTTGGTGGTTACTTTCAGCCTCAATAAGAAAGCACAAAAGAAAAAGAAGCAATGAAAGTTAAACAAAGTAAAGGCCACCAGATCTTACTGATAAATGTCAACTCTCTTATTATGATATCTTACTTTAAAAGATCTAAATCTTACTTCTAAAGAGTTAAATCTTAAAGCTGTCAGAGATTTTATGTCTGGTTTAATTATGCTGCACACATCAAATTACTGTCATATTTAAGTGAGGCTTTTTCAAACATTGTACCTCTTAAATTAAAACAGTTTTGTCTAAAAAAGTGTGACTTAAAAATGGTCAAAGAGCTCTGCTTATGATAATAGCAAACATTTCTAACAAATCTTGTAGAAATGGCTCCTTGGTTTTAATTGTCCCAAGGTCTTGATTTCATGAGATTTATGAAGAAAGAACCAAGCAAAATGGTCCAGTCCTCAAAAATCAGAAGGCCTCAAGGCATCAGTATCAGCAACAAGCATTAGTCGTGCAGAAGTCTTTTAGAATCATGGTTCCATAACACTAAATGAAAACCATTTAATCCTGGACAATCAATAAGGAGGCTACATACATGAGAAAAAATCCGGAACTATATTTCAAACAATATTTTCTCCTACTTCTACAAGTTATGCCTTTCAACTGCTAAGTGATATTCTATAGCTACTTGAATATAAGGCACTCTGCTCTAATAAAAACTGCAAGTGAGTTTAAGGTAGCGAGACTGTAATTACCTATTACAGGAATCTGGCTAGGATACAGGAATTAACTTTGCTAATCTTGCAGAGTACACCATGGGATCTCTAATAACCGCAAGCATTCAAAATCTTCATTTTAAATCTTAGCTACATATACTTTGATTACTCATGCAGTTCCAATCCTTGAAGTTCCAATCTGTCAATTAAAACTCTGAAAGGTGACTCATAATGTGAAATAATTTATATTTCTGCCCTTTTGGGCTTTCTTTTTGAGCTTTCTTTCTGTAATACCTTAAAAGCCCTCTATTTTGCCTTTTCTCACTCTTTACTCTTTGTTTCTTTACATTAGAAATTCAAGTCTTGTCTGGGTTGGAAGATTTGATGGCAACTAGAGAACATCTGAAATTGACATTACAACCGCCTGAACGCTGAGCAATTGAGAAGTGAACAGATTTTCAATCACAGGTTTAAAGAACTTTTGGAAAACACCAACACTTAAAAAGAACACTTGGAAGGAGGAAGCACATCTCAGACTTGGGCGTTTAGCTATTTTCACTATGCCCTCACTTAGCCAGCTAATGATTTCTCAGTTGCTCTTATAGGATTCCTGCATTTCATATTGAGAACAAAAAATCCTACGCAGCATTACCCATTTTTGAAAACCTGACTGAATGTCTACATAGTACCTGTATGTTGCTATACTATGTTGACATAATATACACATACTTATTCAAGGAAAGAATGCTGGGAAGTTTAAGGTTGAATATCCCTATTCATTTGCCAATGGGAAACATTTCTGGTAAACCAACTTCCCCTACATAAACTTTGTATTGTTATAAAAACTGACATCAAGGTACTTTTACTTGATCTCAGTGCAATTTGCAAGAAATTGATCATCTCTTTGCTATTGTTTTTAACCAATCAGAACAATATCTTTCAAGATGTTCTCACATTGTCGTTTTTTTTTTCTCCACAAGTGTGTGAAAGCCATGCACACCCTGCCTCTGGAACACCAGGAAATGAATACCGCTGCTTAAATGTAAGCAGTCTCAAAATCCAGCTGGGAAAATTTTTTAAACCAGCATTGTTTGTTTGTTTTGATGCTTTTCATAGTTTATTTGGAAAGTGGCACTGAAGTGCGGAGACACATCCAGTAATCCAGTGGAGCTGCTTGAAAAATCTGCTGATAAGTACTACTCTATCACAATGAAAAAAATTATCCATTAGCATCCGTTCAACTGACTACACAAAATCAGCAGAAGGCATGAAGATTGTGACTAGGTGTTGTGGAAGTTTGTTTTATAGTCACAAAGAATAGCTTTTTATTTTCTTTTAAAGCTCAATTGTGTACGAGTTACTGACCCCTCTTTATTCCTTCCAGAGCGAGGCAAAAGCCTTTTCATTCACCCCATATTTTAATAGTCCATAATTTTAATTTTAGATAATTACTATCTTATTTATATTACATTTTACTGTAATTTATTGCTGGTGCACCTTTAATTAATTTGAGTGCTACTGTTGTGGGCTCTTTGTGGGCCTATTGCTCTTTTAGTATTGCTGTATTACTTATTTTTGATTTTAATGTATTGTTTTGTTTGTGTGTTTTGATTATGTAAACTACCCAGAGTATCGTCTGGACTAATGGGTTGCATAGAAATCAAATAAATAAGCATGTGCGCATGCACACACCATAAATATGTCTATTATTAAGATATAGACATATGCATTGGGAAGATCATACACTACCAGGAACCATGAGAAGGAGAGGTACAGCACACGCTGCAGGATTCTCCACCAGAAAGGACACACCCCGCTTGGACTGAGTCCAATATGCTACACTGTTAGTATACTCCAGGCCTGGAAACACATCCATATCCACATGGACATAACATCATCCATAAGACAGAAAAAAGGGCACAGAGCTTGAGCAACATATACTCCTTAACATAAATGTTAATCAATTAGATTAACTGATAAATTAACATAAATGTTAATCAATCAAGTTAATCAAAATCCATTAGACCTCAATTGAAGCTACAGAGGGACACCCAAATGGGAATGGCACCTTAACTGAGCTGGTTTACAAGACCTCTTTTCCCCTTAAAGGCTTCATCAGAACTCTCTGGCTCCCCCCACTGCCATGCTGTAACGAAGCCCAAATGTGTGCAACCGAAATCGTCCGTTGTCTATCCCCGCCTTCACTGCCCTTGCTTCATTTTACCACCGTAGTAACCAATTTCTAGTTTTTAAGCATAGGCTTAGGGGTTAGGGAGGGACCTGAGTTTCTGGAAAGCAACACAACCCTACAGAATAAAACATCTTATTTTTTTAAATAAATGAGCAAATCCTTCAACAGTGAATGAAAAACTATATGGATTTATGAAGAACACATATCTTGTGAAAGTCTCTCAAACTGTCCTGGCATACTAAAAAAATGCCTCCACTGGACACCAACAAGCAAATGAATATAGGCATTCTAGCACTGTTTCTAAGCATGGAATTTTCAATTTAAAGGCAAGTGGCAATGAGAATAGGAACAGGTTCCAAAAAAGGAAAGAATATAATTTGACGGAATGTGATGCAAATTTCTCCATCCACATTTTGAAACAAATACTTTTATTTGATAATATTCCACATTACATGCTATTACATAAACATGTAAAAGAACTTTTTATTCACACAGGCATTTAAAGTTATTTCCATAGTTTATTAATTTAAATAAATATTGTTCACAGGAAGAGTTATGCCTCTCAGTTTTATAGCACAAATTTAATTATCGCTTTGGCTTTTTCCCCTTATAACGTACACTGCCCTGAATTATATTATTTATTTCTACAAGCTTTTATATACCTTCCTCTATAGTCATTCTGGCTCTCAGAATGATTTACAAAATAAGATTAGATTAAAAATACAATAAAATAATCAAATAGTAATATTTCAATAACAATACATTCCAGCAGTCCAGCACATGAACCAACCAACAACAATAAATAAAAACAAAAATAAAGCAAGCATATACAAACAATTAAATAAATAATGACTTAAATAAACAAACAGTGACCTGACAGGTACATAAAAACAACTCTGTGTGTTTGTGTGTGTGTGAGAATGTGTGTTAAATGCATCATTTAACACTTAAAATACTGGGAAACAAAGTTTTAGTCTGGTGCTGAAAGATGTTTAGCGCCAGCACCAGGCCTATTTCTTTGGGGAGAGAATTCCAGAAGGGTGGTTTAAAAGCTTAATAAAATAATCTCCTAGTGCTGTTTTACCTGTTTTTTAACTTCATGTCCGTACTTTGCTTCTTTATTATGCTTATAAAACTCCTGCACCCATTCTAGCATCTCCACATCATATGCTAGGCTGGGGTCCTCCCTTGTAAGTTTCACTCAGCCATGGAGGCAACTGGGTGACTTTGGGGCAGTCACAGATTCTCAACTCAACCTACCTCACATTGTTGTTGGGATAAAGCTGAGAGCCACAAGAGGAGAATTATGGATGCCACTTTGAGCTCTTTGTCAGAAAAAAGGTGGGATACAAATCTACTAAATAAATAAAAAGCTAGGGCAGAGTACTCTGTGTAGCCATTATCCATGCTGAGCTATAGGATAAGGTTTTCTAGAAATCCAATCTAGTAATGGGGCAAATTCTGTCCATGCCAAACATGTTTGACCATTAGCTCAAAATTAAACTTCTGGGCACAAGGGTCTGAGTATTATCATTTCAATTAGATGCTTTACAAATATACTTTTATATAGTCTTCTGAAGCGCAAAGCCAAGGAAAATTCCTTTTATGCACACGCCTAAGTCTCTGAACTTCCTTTCTTTAATAAGTAACCCATATTGGATACCACTTAAAGTCTCCTACCAATCACAGCGATTCTCACAGCTTGCCCTTTTAGATTCCAACGTTCAAGCAAGGATTGTGCAGTGCTAGACATTAGTACGCTATGTTGCTGTATGACCTTTACTCTGATAATGAACATTTACTACCAGCCATGGCCACTTATTAAAATGGCAAAGTTAAAGTTATAGTAAAATGTGAAACACTTTTTGTTGTTATTGCTGTTGTGACTGATGACAATGAAAGAAACAAAAGACAATAAAGCTGGTAAAGCCCAACTCCCCCACTGAAGCTGCAAGAATATTAAAATACATGATGAAAGATGCAAATTTAAGACAGCTGAAAGGGGAAAAGATTAAATTATACTAGCTGTGAAGATACATGGAAATATTATATTTTCTTGTCATAGAAACTATATTGCTTAAATAAAAGTTCCCACCCCACATCATATCATCCAACAGCATTTCTGCCATTTATATGTTGCCAGTAGACTATAAAAGGGCATGCCTTTTTCCAGCCAAAAACTCCTTGGTTCTTCTTCTTGGCTTGGAGAGGTGAGAGATGTAAGTTCAAAACCTTCTCAACAATGAAAACTCCCTGGTGGTCTTGACCAAGCAATGCAGATAAGTCCCGAGGCTGTGGACAAGTCATGATCCTGAGAACATACTTAAGTCGAATTTGTGTGTAAGCAGAATCACATGAATAAGCCCAATGTTTGGTTTTGGTTTATACACACACACACTACTTGCCTATGCATATAAAGCACTTAAGAAACACTTCTGTATTTACTAAAATATCTTAAACACAATACATCATTGTAATAATTATAATAATATAGCAATGATAAAGTAACTACAGATACTGAAAAGAGAAAGAAAGAGAGAGAGAATCTGAATGCATGTGTGCAGGCGTACATTACTGAAAAAACAAATGAAAGAAACAGTTCTTAAAACAATTTAGAACACTCTTTCAAAACAGTGTCTTACAGAGTTAACGTAGGTCACTTTCATTCTTGCATAGATTATAAGAAGATCATGAATATGAAGTGTTTTGAGCACTTTAAAATACTGTATGTTTTTTCATTTTCTGAATATATTTCTGAGTTGCTCTGCTAATTTACAATAAACCATAGGAATAATAAAACACCACAGTTCCAAACAAAACAAAACCAAAAACAAAATGTTACTACATGGATTAGGAAGTTAATACATGATTTCAAGCTTTAAAACAAGAACAGAGGAACAGGAAGAAGCCATCTGGGCACTTCTGCTTCTGCCCTTCCAGAAACTATTTTGCCATGGTCCTGCTTGATCCCTGATGCCCTGCAAGTGCCAGGAAAACGCTCTGGCTTGGGTACACATGAACCCACACCCGAAAGAAAAAGTTGTGACTAGTGTATCTAGACCACCACTGACGACACATTGCCAAACACACCATGTAGTTCCCTAGAGATATCACAGCTTTTCCCTAGAGTTATTCATATAGCATTGCAGTCCATGCAATTATCAGTACGGGTTGTTCATAACCCAGGGACTACCTGTATTATCTTTGTCCATTACCATGGATGCTTCAATAATCCACTAGTGTAAACTCTTCAGAGAAATAGGAAGATAAAAATAAAAATGACAACTGTAAACATCAGCTATTTTAGGCATTTCTACCCTTCAACTGGCAGCTAGTTTTGACAAAAGGCACTAAATGGATGGAAGTGAAGGCCCAAGTCCTACCTTGTAAGTGGCCTGCCAGGAGGTTTCTTTCCCTGCACTATCCCCAAAGCCACTGTTCCTCCCTTAGATTTGCTGGAAAAGCAGATATGTAAAGACCCAAAGAAGCACTGCGGAATATTAGCGGAAGAAGTGATTTCTCTGCTTTATTCCCAAGTATTCCTCCCTGCCCAAAAAGAAAAAAAAATAGATTGTAGAATCCTTTCTTTCAGAAAGATGAACAAAAAGTCCCAAAGGAAGTATTCATATAACTATTCCCACCAAAATGTTTCCTCAAACCTACACATGTTTATGCAAGACTAAGTATAATATCAGATCATTACAGTTCTTGTGCATGGAGGACAAGCAAGTCCTAGGCTATAAATTGAGACCATAACTCTTAAATGCAAGAGCAAGATGCATTTCTGCCTCCAGGGGGTATTGCCATTATCACAATAAGGCAATCTGTGCAAGAAAAACCCAGAAAGCACTATATCTTATGGTACTTACAAATGGATGTACAAATGTGACGGGGAAAGAAATCAAACACCTCAGCCAGCTTTTCAGAGAAGTGTTGAAACAGGAGAGAACAGTCATACTGCATAGCATGTCAGCTGAAAATATGAGAAGTCCTACCGAAGTCTGGGTATGGTAACGCATTTGCTTTGCTGCCTGACAATGCAAGTAATATGAAAGCACTCTGGGAGATCACAACAGGGAAGTATCCACATATTACTGCAATAGGATGTACATGTCATGGGCTAAACTTGCTTCTTAATCACATCATGAAACTGGACGCCATCCAAAAGGTCTGTAGACAAGCAAAAGAAGCTATAAAATATGTTAAAGCTCCTCCTATTGTTGCTGCAGTCTTCTAGAAGAAGAAAAGGCAATGAACAAAAGAGCTTTACTCAAGGTCTGTGATAAAAGACAATGAGATGGAGTGGGGACCTCCTCTGCAAGTTTACTTGCGGAGCTATTCAGGAAGCTCCTCAAGTAACAGCTGAGGATCTTACAGCATCCAGGGGTACAGAACACTGTACGTGACGAGGATGTCTTCTAGGTTTCAAAAGCTTGCAGAAGCTTGCAAAACCAATTTCTCCAGCAGTCACTGCATCTGAATCACACAGTGAACTTTTGTCGCAAATTCTTTACCATGTGGCCAAGATAAACAACTGATTTGGGGAATCTAAGTTTAGCTTCATTTACTGGTAAAGAAGGAAGTAAAATGTTTATTAAGTAATGGGAAGATTTTTTTTCCCATTCCATTCCTGCTGCAGCAATCCCGCTCGACCCAAGATTCAAAGGCAGAAAAGTACGTGATGTTAGCATAGCACTAGAACACAAGCCACGCACTTAAAATTTCATGCTGAAAATTCATGTTCAAATGTTGCACATGTTCAGGGATTTGCTCCAAAACTGCAGTCTGAGATGCTGTCAAACATACCCCTCCAGCAATACCAAAAGAAACTGGCCAATGTTTGGAAATACATACACCAAATCAAGAGATGACATGACATGCGAAGGGTGGAAAAGCATGTTTCATTTTGGGCAAACATTCCAATTTTAGGAGTCTATTATAATTATAGTAAAGTTGAAGAAGCCACTGATAGCAACAGCTTAGAATGAGACTGTTTCAATTTCATGTAGAGCAGGGGTCCTCAAACTTTTTGAAGAGGGGGCCAGTTGAAAGGCTGCAGTCACAGACCGGTGAGAGGTGGGAGTGCCTGGGGGCACAGGCCGGTGAGGTACCGTCGAGCACACACGAGGCAGCATTGGGAACGCACAGTGGTGGTTTGCTCGCTCAGAGATCTCTCAGCGAGTCCAAAACCATCTATGGGTGAGCGCGACAGAGGCAGCGATAAGCACGCACGTACAGGAGGCAGGCAGCGGTGGCGGCTTGCTCGCTCAGAAACCATCTCCAAGTGAGCCACCACCTCCCTGCCCACGCAGCAAGCGTGTGCACGGGCCGGATCCGTCCCGCAGGCCATAGTTTGAGGACCCATGGTTTACAGCTTCACCTGCAACACTGAAGATTGCAATGTTTAACTACTCTTACTTGCAGTGAAAGCAATCAGATAACCTTCTTGACAAGAGCCCACAGTTAAAAAACAAAAAAAATGAATGTGAGGTACGAATGGGCCAGCATTGCCCCCCCTATATATATGTATGTATATTCCTATATCCTTAAATACTTACCAATCCACAAACTAAAATAATTTATTCATATGAGAGAACTGTTCCATATTTGACTTGCAATGAATGTACCATACGAGGAAGAAACAAATGTAGATGGTTTACACAATTGCATTGCATGTGACATTTCTGTGTATTAGAAGATGCTTCAGTCAAAAGACAAGACTGTCTTAAAAAGAGATGACCATAAATTTGTTATTATAGGTAGAAGCAGCAATTTCAAGAACGTTATGAATCTGAATAAACGGAAAAGTGATATAGTGTGGTAATAAACATATCGCTAAAATAAAATCAGGTTCGCACAACTCACACTTTACTTCTCAATGTGTTACCTAAAATCAAAACAAAAAATATATTTTAGCCAAGCAATTGAAATAATTTTCTTGATATCTCTTATCATTTCAATCAACTATAATCTGGGATATTGCCAGAAAATCCTCAAACCATCTCTCAAATATATGAAAGGCCCATCTTAGTGCTTTTTAAAATTATTTCTCTCAGGGATCCTCTTTTGAAAGTGTATGTTACAATTCAGAGCAATTGTAATGAGCGCTTAGAGGAAGTAACCAAAAACTTATTTTCCCTCAAATCCTGTTTTGTTCTAGTTCTGTAATATCCCACTTGGGCAAAATTTTAACAGCTTTTTATATGTTGAAATAACTTTCTAATGGCTGGATCAAATTTGATATTTCAGAAGCGGCATTAAGCAAAACAAATTCCCAGTAAAGCAGTAGATTCACCAATCAGTCCCTCTGTGTACTTTTATTATGCAAGGCATACAAGCTTGCTTTTATGATCTTCCAATTTTTAAGTTCGTTCACTAATCTTGGCCAATTTATACCTGGCCTACTCAAGACAACTTAGAATATAATTAAAACAGAAGACTCCAAACTGAAGCACTGTCAAGAACAGGTGTAAGGGCAGAGGCATGTAGCTCAAAAAGAACATTTTCACGTTTTGGTGTATCGCTTTGCTTTTACATATATACTTTGATAGAAAGCTCCCTCTCTTTCATGCACATGCACTAAACTGTACATAAGCAAGCGATAAGCTGTGGAGCTAAGAAGGCCTTCAATGCAGTGGATCTCCCCCTGGCGTTTGAGAAGTACCCAGTTGTCCTGCTTTAGTGGCCAACTAGGATCTATTTCTTTTGCCCAAACATTACCTGAGCGAAAGTGCTTTTGTAATTACGGTGTTGTAATTGGTTTTAAATACAACACCATAATTGTTTCATGTTGTATTTGGTTTTAAATAAATTTTAATGTGTTATTCATTTCTTATTTCAATGTTCTAGCAATTTTATGTATTTTAATGCATATTACATATTGTGTTAACCACTGAGAGACATTTTAAAGTACGCATATAGGGATTATACATCTCATAAACAAACATACAGTCTTTTATACATAAGGATTTTTATTCTCAAATAGATTCAATTTTATTTGGATGCACTAAAAAAAACTTGGGCTTTACATTTTATCTAACCATATAATGTAATAGAGCTAACCTTCAAACTTAAATACGATACCTTCAAAAAAGCCTATACAACTCCAAGACAGTTGATTGCCATGCTTAGCCAGTATGATTCCTTCCCTTCACTTGCTGGTCAACCCTGCCCATGAATCGTCTTTCAAGGGTGACCTTCCCAGTGTAAGTGGTAGCATAGTTATCTGCAAACCACAAATATTTCTGAATCCAGTGGACCATTTCTGAAAAGAGATTCCCGGGCCTTGATCTGCCAAGAAAATGAAATCTAGAATCCCTGTCCCTAAATCCCAGATTTGGGTGTTTTCTTGTTGAGTTTTCCAGGTGCATTCTTATTTTATTTCACATGTTTGAAGATTGAAACTTTGCACTACTAATTGCTTCAGGAGCTGAACTGAAGCCTACATTGCCTTGAGAACATAATTTTCAGACAGGATTGGTTTCCAAAGAGGTATACAATACTATTTTAAAAACCCTACAGAAATGACTACTGAAGAATTACAGAACTACTTTGTAACTTTGTACTTTGTAACTACCCTGAACTGATAGAAAGAAGAACAAGGGGTTCTAGATCAAATCAGGCCAGAACTTTCCCTAAAAGCAAAATTACAAAACTGAGGCTGTCATACTTTGGACACATCGTGAGAAGACAAGACTCTGTGGAGAAGACAATCATGCCAGGGAAAGTTGAAGGAAGAGGAAGAAAAGGGAGCCCAGAGAAGGGATGGGTTAACTCCACAAAAGAAGCCAGTCTTAAATTTAGGACAACATTCTGGAGGCCTTTCATTTACAAGTCACCATGGGTCAGAGACACCTTGATGGTACACAGCAGCAGTGCGCACGTGTGCGCGCGCGCACACACACACACACACACACAGGGAGGGAGGGAGGGAACATGAAACAGGGTTAAAACTTTGTTAAAACTACACTGGTGGCAAGGTGTCATTAATTCTTTGTTTTAGAAACAGATTTAATCTAAATTTGTGCAATGTTCAAATTTCAAATATTTGAAAATTCAACATAGGATGTGACGCATAAAATGAAAGAAATGAACCAATTTCCCCTCATACTCTGCTATACAAGACCATCTAAGTATTATCCATTCTCTTTCACTAAGGATAAACCGGAAGACTCCTCACACTTAGGATGTTTTTGCCATCTCCACTCAGTTCTCCAAGGATATGGAATTCCTTGCATGCTTAGATTTTGGACAGGAAGAACTAGGGTTATTCTTCAGTTTTAATTCTTGTGTGGCTTGACTCGCCTGCCCTGTGCACATGCAGCTTTGACAATATCCACCCCTGCTTTCAGCAGCGCCTACTGCATTGTCTCTAGCACAATCCTGATGCTCAAGTAGTACTGAGACATTATTCAGTTGAAGTTAGCTTTCCTAACAGTGGACTGGGAATATTATCAGCTTATTCTACATTATAAGGCTGGAGGACTCTGCCAAACATAAACAAGGAACTTGTGGTAAGTTATGCTGCTTCAACTTAAGGTTGAGAAAGGAGAGAATATTAAATATCACCAGCTCATTATTTTAACTGTCACAACGTATGTTCCCGAGGCTTTTTCCTGTATGCATACACAAAGTTGGCTATGAGATATTAATCATCCAATGAGACTGGAGATAATTACTTCTATTATAAAAAAGCAAAGTATATAAAACATTGCATTTGGCAGGTTCCTGGATTTACTATGTTTTCTTTTGAGAGCTCTTTAAAGCAGCAAATTTTGTCATGCCGATACACTGCTCTTCACAGTGGTAGGTAGGAGAGGCACCGAAATCTAAGACAGTGTATTTCCTTATGTTACCCTGTAGCATAGACTTACACCACTGTGTTTTATACCACAATGTGGTTCCAAAAGAATGGAACCCGAACCAATTCACATGCCAACAAAAAACCTCTTGCCATGCAGATGGTTAAAACAACTATGAGATTAGAAACGCTGCAGATGTCCAAAGGTAAAATGCAAGAAGTCGCCTGAAGACAGAAAAATGGAATTTTAAATCCCCAAAGGCAGATACCAGATAAAACTCAGCATACTGCTTGCTCCTCTGAAAAGGCTACAAACTGTAACAGCGACTGACACAGAATTTCCAATATTTCGACTGTTTAAAGCTAAGCATAGGATCTACTCAAGTAGTAAACAGGAAGCCACTGCCTAAATTGGAGCCTTCTTTCCTATTAGCAATTCTTCATTTCACACTGAAAAACAATCAAGTTATTTTCATCTGGAAAGCAGCAGCAACTTCCCATTGGAATTGATTTTCTTTATAGATATGAGGAAGGTCCCTTACTTGAAGGAAGAAGGGGAGAAACATATTAGCATGTAAGCTGGAAATTGGAATGATAAGGCTGGTTGCCATCTAAGCACACAGAAACAGTTCACGTGACAATAGGAAGCCTACTCTCTCCGCCTTTTATTACCTGAATTCCCTTCAGCAACCAATTCTGAATGCTTTTCCAGACATGTATTTCTAAAATACTTTTTGGAAAAGCTGATGAAAGACCTCCCGTAAGATAAAGAATGTCATCTGGGGGCATCAGTAATTTTTCTTTCAATGTAAAATATGTAAAAATGATTATACATCATATAACTTGAAACAGGACAAAATAAAGTCCACTTGAGAGTAAACTGTACTTTGCTCACCATGGCAGATCTAAACTTAGAGTTTCCAATAGAAGAGACTCTACTGGAAGAGTTATTTCAAGAAGACTATGGTTCTTTTTAAAAACGTTGCTCTCTTACAAGATAGCTTTAAATATAGACCATCTGTGTAAGGTAGATTAATTCATGAGTTTTTTCAACCATGCCAGAACGGTGTGAGATTAGTGGTAAAAGTGCTGGAAGGAACACATTTGACAGTTCTGCAAGAAAGCATCATCTGTCTGTATGTGATGACAGCTGCACAGCTAAGTTGGTATCATACCAGTTTGGTTTAAGCTTCAAGACTCTCTCAACCCCCCCACACTTTCATGCCGCGTGCAATTTTTGCACAGTTAGGTGTGCTTGGCCCCTGAAGGCTTTCACCACACGAGTGTGTTGCGCCTTGCTGGTCCACCCTGTTTTTATTATCGTTCCGCTCCTGCTGTATGCTATTCATCCAGCCATGTTAATCTGTGGCTGCGGCACTTGCTTCTTTTTGCCATAAGTGTCAGACCAACATTCAAGAAGTATGAAACCACTTCCTAGAGACAGCTCCAGAACAAGAGCTGCACTTAACTCATCTGCTCCTACTAGAAATTTAATAAACAATTAAAATTAAGGCTGGGAATGAAACATCAGCTTTGGAAAAAGTAGGGAGCAATTTAAAAATTAAGTGAGATTATTAATTGGCTTCAGTGTATTAAGCATCTTCTCAATTAATCCAATTTAATTTTAGTCTCATAACATTAAGCAGCTTTAAATTAATTTAATTGGCTATACAGAGTAGAATTTAGCTTTCATATTATGGATGATTACACCAGGTATTTTACTACTTTTTATAAACTAAAGGTCACAGAAAGCATATTCTCTGTGTAAAATATTTCCCCGAAGTAGTATTAAGCACAGAACCTCAGGAAGCAAGGAGAGCTAGAGTTCTCCAGCTTCTGACACAAGGCAACTGCAAAGACAGGTTTAGTACTTCCTTTATGGGCCTGAGTGCATGACACAACAGCCTATGACAGGTTACAGTGTGTGCAACTGGTATTGTTTATATCCACCCCCATTCAGGTGCTGTCTTGTGAGAACTAAGCCAGTGTAGGTTATATAAGGTTTGTTTACCCCTCATATAACCCACAATCACCAGGTTCACCCAACACAACCCTTGAGTGGGGGCTGGATATGCAAAAGTCATCCA